GGTTTTTTTTAATCTGAAAAGAGCTTCACTGAGTGAGAACTAATGTTGAGAGCACAGAAGCTAGCTTTCACTTTCACTGTGACCCGAGAGCCTCCGCCATGAGGAAGTTCGGCTTAAAGACACGTCCCAGAGGTGTTTCTGGTACCAAAAGGCGTTTCTGGTCCCCACCTGTCATTTTGCTCCTCAGCGTGGCTTCTTAAAAACGCTGCAGGATTTCTCAAACATGCATGAATGAGTCAAAGCAAGGCTTTGGACATGTTTTTTATGAAATTATAACATTATAACATGATATAAAACTCAAATAAAAGTTGATTTTACATGATATTGCCCCTTTAAATACAAATAAAAACACATTTTAGGAGAAATTTGAAGCTAATTCATAAATTGCTACCACTTGGACGACATGAGGAGAAAGCTCTCAACAAAACTGGTTTATCAACGACACGTTACATCCGGGAGCTGAAGGGAAAAGTATCGCTGTTTATCAGTCAGTCGGAGCAGAAAAAGGAAGGATAATGGATGGACCTCTGAGTGAGGTCACAGTCTTTAAAGGAAAGTACCTCTCAAGCCAGCGAGATCAGCCACTGTAGGTTCATCTAAGCAGACGCAGGTCAACCTGCAATCATATCTGCCGAGCTCTTTTTAAATCTGATTAAATGTGAGGTCAGAGTCAGGGAACGGTGTCATCTGACAGAGGCCTCGGAACATTTGCATTTTAACAACTTCATCCTGAAAGCAAGGCCTTTTAAAACCGCAGAGCAGCACCCAGGATTCAGAAACAGAGCCAAAGGGAATGTGCCTTTCTGCTTGGATATCCAGTAAATCCTCATTTTTGAAGCAATGCTTTGTAATTTAGCAGCGATTGCATCAGATGCAGCACAGAGAAGGAAGAAAAAAAGTCTTCAACTAGGCTAGGTTAACGGCTAGCCTTTTTGTTACAGGGGTCATATGTAAAATTTGCATTTTTTTTTTTTAGCCATTAAATTCATTTTATTGCGTGCATGGATTCTCCAGGAGTGCAGAAAATATTTTTTGAATGCTTTATTTATTTGGGACAGTGTGCAATTAAAACATAATTTAATGCGTTGCACCAGATTTAGCCTAAGGCTAATTTACATCTGTAGTCCCATCAAACAGTAAAAACAAAACAACAGTAAAATAGAAATAAGRGAGGAAAAAAACAGAAAAATAAAAACAATATAAAATAAAATATTTTGCAATTAAAAAATGCATAAAACACCCCACTCTCCAACCTACACAACCAGAAGTAAGGCTGCAGATATCTTTATGTTCAGTTTGTGTTCTATTTTTCAACCTGTTCAGTTTCTCTATTTTCTATGATGTTTTCTGAACTTTTACATCACAGAATTTGTGACAGGACAGACTGTCAAGTCTTTCATTCTTCTCTGGTTCTGAGGCTGGATGGACAAGTCTTCCTTTGTTGGCATCTTTTAATTAAATGTTAAATTAATTTAAAGTTTCTGCGCCGTTGTATAGTGCTAAACCCCTCCATCAAACTAGAATGGATGTTTGGATTTAAAGAGACAGCCTCAAAGCGAGTTGATCTGAGACACACCTCAGAAAAGGGGTGAAAGAGGGGCTTGTGGAGTTACAATAAGGAGGAATTCAGATGAAAGCATTGCAGTTCCACTTTCTATAGAGCCCAACTTCAGGATTTAAATGTGAAAAATGGAGGATTTAAAAGCAGGATGTGTCTCCTTTAACTTCCTGTTCAGGAGCCGTGTTTGTGAGCCAGCAGGCAGCTCACATGGTGCTGCATCGCCAGCGAAGGCACAACAGTGGTCACCTGGAAGAAATCTTTCATAAGGCAGACCTGGAGCGAGAATGCAAGGAGGAAGTCTGCACGATGGAGGAGGCCAGGGAAGTGTTTGAGAACGATGAGAAAACTGTAGGTTTTAAACACAAAATACACCCAAAAGATCTGTTTGACTCTAAAATAAAGACAATCGTTTTATAATCTGCTTTGTTCTTGATGTTCCTCTTTCAGATGGAGTTCTGGGCCGTTCATGTTGGTGAGGCAAAATAAAGCCACATTCTCACACTCTCTCAGAATGAAATTAAACTCGTATCGTTGGTGTTTCACATGTGTGTAGATGGTGATCAGTGTAGGCCACAACCCTGCCAGAATGGAGGCGCATGTCAAGATGGAATCAGCTCCTACATCTGCTGGTGCCAGCCGAACTTCAGCGGCAAAAACTGTGAGATCGGTGAGTGTGGAAACAATCAAAGATGTGGATTTTCTTTTTTTTCCCACATGTGTTCATATACAGGTGCTGGTCATAAAATTAGAATATCATGAAAAAGTAGATTTATTTCAGTAATTTCCATTTAAAAAGTGAAACTT